GGTCAGCCCAGTTCTGGGATTTTTAGTTCAGGGCTTGCTTCTCTTTTGACCTTTTTTAAATAGCRTTGTTCCTGGTTTCTGATGTTGGCTATTCTGGTTTTGGAGAGAGTTGTGGAGGCTCCAGCTGGGCTGTGAGCTTTGGATGCTGTTGTGCCGCATCCCAAGGTCCGTGCAAGTGAAACCTCGGCTTGACCGCCCTTGTGCCGTCCCTTTGTCTTTGTAGGGAAAACCCTTAGCAGGTATGTTGATGCRCAGAAATGGGCAGCATCCGTCCCTCCCCTCTTAACCTCTCCTGGACYGTTAGCAGGGCTAAAATGGGATGTGTTTTACCATTGCAGGTAGAAAAGTGTGATTGAGTTTAAACACGTGTTTGTAAGGCCCAGACACAACAGTGGTCAGTCTAACTAGATACATGACTTATTAGCCAATTTTATCCAGGTCATGTTTTTCAAGTAGTTAATTTCTTTTAGGATTTGCCCTACTAATTACTGAATCGGSGGCATGGTGCTGGCAGAGGCTTGGGTTGTTTCTCTGCAGGATGAGAGGTAAGGTAGCTCTAAGGGGTGTGTTGTAGAAAGGCTTCAGATAACTGCCTGTGAAATCATAGGAGAGCACCGTGCTGTCCACGCTTAGGAAAACGGAAATCCCATTGCACGAGGAAATGAAAGCAGGGAGGATCCTTACACTTTGGATATAAAATTGCAAATGTAATTGCTAAAGTTAAATCTCTGCAGAGTAAGAGCTTTGGAGTTCGATATGGAGGRATAAGTAACGCACGTAAAGCTTGGCGTGTTCTTCTGTATTTARTATTTGCTTACTAATGTGCCAGTTTCAAACATGTTGCACGGGTCAAATTCAGGGATGCTGCAATTAAAGCTTTGTAAAAGTGTCAACTATCAAGCTGTTCTCTTCTGAATTTGGAAACTTTGAAAGACTGAGGTGTAAAAAGTTCCGACAGCTGATTTGTTTGCTGCTGTTACTGTTTTTTAATCTACTTCACCTAGTCTTAATAATTCACAGCACGTTCTCTGCAGTGCTGTCTTGCACCTCGCAGATGCCTGACTGAAACACCTGAAAAATACATGAAAACTTTTGCTTGCCGCTATGCATGTGGGCATAAAAGTGGATATTTGTGTGGGATGCTGCTCTGACTGCACGAGGTGGGAATAGATACGTTCCGGTGCCTCTGCTCGCTTGAGAAGGACGTAGTTTTCAAACTCCCGTGTTSAGTGTATGGAAGGCTTTCCTTGTCCCGGGCTTGCTGTCTGTGGAAACAGCTTTCCAGTCCGCAGGCACGCTCCCGCTGCGCTCCTGCTGTTTGGTCAGGAACTGGCACGTTACACTTGAGCACAGCTTGCTTTGGCTCTCAACTGAGAACGTGCAAGGAGACGAGGATGCCCCGGACGGGGATGAGGAGCTCTCATCTCGAGCCCCCTCGGTGACTCGGAGCAGCCGCTGGCTCTGGTAGCGGATCACCCGTGGGCACCTGTGGGAGCTGCCGGGTCCGGATGCGCTCGGTCCCTGTGGACTTTGAGCCTTGGGATTTCTGAGTGGAAGAGTGTCTGAGCCTCCCTTCGCTTAGTGCTCCCCAACCTCTGTGCGCCTGAACCCCTGCAGCGTCCCGGAGTGGAGAGTCTCCCGCATTTAAGGAAAAGGATTTTTGCTTTCAATGATGATTTTCCTTTGTTTTGTAACTTAGTGCTTCTCTCTTTGGGCCGTGAGCAGCACCGGGTGCTCCCTTCACTGCGTCTGCCCCTCTGCAGCACTCGCAGTAGGTCTTGGGAATGTAAGTGGTGTGGGAAGTGGGCAAGCTGGTGTCGCTGCCCGCCGCCTCTCCCACGGGCCCTGTCCCGGCTCTCCTGCGTCAACGGGCACGGATCTGTGATGCCCTCTCCATGGAACAGCCTCTGCCACACCAGGCTGGGGAACACTCCCCCAAAAGTAAGCCCGTTTTTGCAGGCATCTAGTTAACGTGCGTGTTTTCCTCTGCTTCGGATCTTTCCCGAGCGTCCCTCGGGCGCTGGGCACGTGTTGACCGGGAGCCGGCGCTGGCGGGAGCTGCCAGTGCCCCGGCTGGTCGTGGGCCTCCAGGCCCCCGGTGCCGCCTCCCTGCGGGAGACGGGAGTGGGAGAGGCCCTTGGAAGGCTCCAGGCCCTTGGAAGGCTCCAGGCCCTTGGAAGGCTCCAGGCCCTTGGAAGGCTCGGTTCTGGCCAGGCCCCAGGGCGGGTTTTGCTGGGCTGCCTTGCGAGCCCCAGAGCCGCTGCCGCCCCTGCCCTGCGGGCGCTCCGAGCCTCCGGAGAGCACAGGAGTTCCTCATAGCTCCTGGAGGGCCTTCCCAGCCAACTAAAATCCAATATATTAAATATATTGACTGTGCAGGTTTAAATGTGAATCTACAAGGCTAGTTATGAATTCTGGTTTTGATTTTTTTTTTYCTTCAGTTTTGCAGGTGCATTTTTCAGTTGTGACTTCCAGTGTTTCTCTCCCAGTTTCTCAGCATGGCTCTTGTTACTGCTGCTTTTGGGTTGGGATTCGGCTGCAGCCTTGCGGTGGGCTCTCGCCTATGGAAGAGAGGACATTGAAGCGCCTCCCGGCACGCGCTGGTCGTCAGCAGAGCCGTTCCCGGCGCTGCAGGAGCGGGCAGGGGCGGAGGGAGCGGCGCTGGGGTCCGATCCAGCGGCTCCGCTCGCTCCGCAGCCTGGCCGCGATGCTCCTTTATGCTCACAGCATGGAAAGGGAGTGGGGCTTTGTCAGCTTTTGCTTCACTTTGCAACTCTACCTGTGCAAGCACTAGTGCTGGTTGTCATTCACCCCATGAAGCAGGTGRCACCTTCCCCGTGCCAAAAAAAAGACAAAAAAGAAAAAAAAGCAATCCACTCACCTTTAGGAGAGGTTGGGAGGGACCCGCCTTCCTCTAGGCGCRGTAGAAGGGTGGTGATGGTCTCGCCTCACTCATCCAAATCTTGTTAGTTCAGTCCACGGGGAGAAGGCGGAGGGAACRCAAGCGGAGAGGAGGGACCGGTCACCCCTGAGCAGTGGGACCCGTCGTTCAACACGTGCACAAGGCCCGAATGGGCCGGTTGTGGGACAAGTGGAACCTCCCGTGGTCCTCAGGGCCGTCTCCTGGCTGCCCGGAGCCGCGGTTTTGGCTTCTCCAGCGGCTCTCGTCACCCCTTGGGGCAGCGCGTGTTGCTTCCAGGAGCCCCTCTAGCTGCTGCTGTGTAACTGCTACTTAACACCCCCGTTTAATTCATACAAATCTGTCTGACCTCAGTGTCTTTGTCTTGTCGGATTTTACATCAAAAGACCTTGAGACGTAACATGAAGTTAGTTGCCTGGCCATTACAATTAACTTAAACTCATTAGTTTAAGCTCATTAGTTAATAAGATAAACTTTTTCTTTAAAAAAAAAAAAGTTTTTAAAAACAGAAATGTTTTGGCAATTTTCCACTTCAATTCTTTGCTCACTTTTTATTGTTTTGATGTACAAGAGCTAACGTGTAATAGTGAAGCTGCAGATACATGTGTCATAACGTGGAATTCCAGAAAGCAGCCCCGGTTTTGGATCCTGGCTGTGCGAGTGTGCTCATGTATTTCTTGTGTGCAGTGATCCTTCCAGTTCATTGTTTGTTTGTTTGCAGGCCTGTAAATGAAAACCATTTCTTGCTGGATAAGGCAAGAAATTACCAGGGTAGTGTTTCCCAGCGGTAGCCTTTGTTTCTGTCCTGCTCCGGGTGGAATATAGGGATACAAGCTCATGTTTTCTTTGCTGCTTGGGCAGTGCTCTGGGTGCTGCTAGCGGAGCTGCGGCAAGAGGGTGGTTAGGCCCTTGGAGGGTGATGGGGGGCTGAGCGAGGGGCTTCCCGCGTGACGTGGGCGCTCCTGGGGCGCCGGGATTCAGTGCTTGCCTGGCGCGAGCTTGGAGTGAGGGCCGCAGGACGGCGCCGGCGAGGGAGACGCGGCTCACGCAGGCCCGGAGACAAAGCCCTGCTCCGCGCTCTGCCTTTTCCCTGGCTGTGGAGCCGGGAGCCGTTCCCTGGCCCCCGTGGCGGCTGAGCTCCGTGCAGCCTCCCATGCGGCTGCTCTTCCCTCCCGTCCCTCCCTCGGTGTGGGTGCCAGGCTGGATCCGTGTTCCCCGCAAGTCGGATGGTGCAGGATGGGCCCGGGCACCTCCCCGAATCCATGTTCACTGCGCGGCGGGTGGTGCAGGATGGGCCCAGGTGTCTCCCCGAATCCGTGTTCCCTGCGTGGCGGATGGTGCAGGATGGGCCCGGGCACCTCCCCGAATCCGTGTTCCCTGCGCGGCGGATGGTGCAGGATGGGCCCGGGCACCTCCCCGAATCCGTGTTCCCTGCGCGGCGGGTGGTGCAGGATGGGCCCGGGCACCTCCCCGAATCCGTGTTCCCTGYGCGGCGGMTGGTGCAGGATGGGCCCAGGCGCCTCCCCGGCGGGGCTGGATGGGTGCCTGGGGCGGCCTGACCCAGCGCCGCGGCCCCAATTCCGGCGTGGCGCTTTTCCTGCAGGGATGGCTTAGCTGCCGAGGGAGGAGTCTGGAGCAGCCCTGCAGGAGGCAGCTTGTGCGCGGCCGGCCACCCTGGGAGAGCGGAGCCGGAGCTGCTTCCCGCCGGCRCTTCCCTTGCGACGCGGCCGGCAGAGAGAGTGGCCTCCACGCGCCAAACCTGCTCCCGCCTCTGGAAACCGGGAACATCCAGGGGCTTCCGCGCTGCACAGGGCAACTGAGGCAACAGACCGCAGGAAAAYGGAAAAGAGGGTGTTTTTTATATATATTTGCCTGACATATATATACATTTATAACTTCTGTGCGCGTTGCTGTCGTGTTTAGGATGTTGTTCCTGCGGCAAGCACGTTGAGCCGTGGGGCTGGCCCACCTGCCCAGGCGTGCGTGTGCCCTCCTGCTTGCACTGAAATCAGACTGTCCCCCTCTCCTCGCCTCGCGCCACACACAACACGAGCCAGGAGAGCGCGACTCGATTCTCTCTAGTCTCTTGGAGAGCTTCCCTTAAGGTAATCTTGAAATAACTGTCTGTGTTGCCAGCAACTCAGTCTTCCAAGAGTGATTTTTGGTTTTCCAGAGCCTGTTTGGCATGAGGAGCTCTGATTGAAGCACTCCGATGCAGATAGCTCCCCTCTGCCCTTGCAACAGCTCAAGGCATGTGCACAGCACCAGAAATGAAAAGCTGCGCTTTGTTTTCAGGATAGGTAGGAAAGGCAGTTATACTGGGGGCATATTGCATTTTATTTTATCTTCAACGCGTGTTACAAGTGTAAAGGCAGATCACTTACCCTCTCTGAGTACTTACAAAGCAGGATGACGGGTGTTAAGTGCTTTGCGCTAGGCTCCGCGATGAATCATCCTCTGGAAGGGCGCGCGAAACGGTCTCAGGGTTCCCTTTTGGCCCGTAATCCATAAATCGATGCAGACGGGAATTGTATTTGGGGTTTCTTCAGCCTACTTTTATGATCTATTAGCTGATTTAAATTCAGGATTTTAACTGTTTCAGGGGAGAGGTCAAGCTGGAAGGCAATATTTTGCACGTGTTTTTCTCTCATCTTGAAAGCCACAGCATCCTTCTGGCACCTGCCAGAACTTGAGACTATTGCTTGTCCTGAGCTTGCAACAATTTCTAGTTGCTGCGTTGCATTTGATGCATTTAGTGCATACCCGTGGCATTAGCCATCCCTCCGCAATATCCCTTTCCTTGCACAGGAGAGTCCCTTACCTCATGGCAGAGCATTGGCYGCCGCTGGTGCTCCTGCCTCTGGGAAGGGGCATGTTCCTTCTTTGGTTGAATCAGGTTTTGTTAACCAAAAATTTCTACGAAAGCAGATTTATTTTGTCTTAGGTGCCATGCAGTCCTTAAGGAATGATTCCAGAGGTTTCCTGTGGGCCCTTAGGAGAGACATGGGTGCGCGGTGACTGGAGGCACTAGCATGAGGTCTGCGTAGGGGTGCTGCTCCCCAAACTGCACTGCCAGGTGAAATCAAGGAACAAAAGTTACTCCTTCCTGAAGGTTTCCTTTTT